GTAGAAATATAATTTTAATTTTAATATTAATATTATTATTATTATTATTATTGTTATTATTATTATTATTATTTATTAATTAATTAATGTTATGGTCTTATAAATTGTTTTGTAGTTGTTGTTATAATTTTTTATTATCAATAATATTGTTATTGTTTTGTATTTGTTGTTATTATTATTAGTATTATTATTAGTATTGTTATTATTATTATTATTATTATTATTATTATTATTATTATTATTAGTATTGTTTTTATTATTTTTATTATTTTAATTATAATTATTATTATTATTGTTTTTATTATTATTATTTTGACATAAAGCATGTTTTGTTTAATTTGTATAGGATATGGAATCTGAGGAAGGCGGTGACGGTGTGAATTATAGTGGGAATTTTGTCACCGATACGTTTTTTCCTACATTTGACGATGTTGTTACATGGGCTGATGGTGTTTCCATAAAATTGGGATTTATATTGGTGAAATCGTCTTATAACAAAACCAGAGATGGTCGGCCGTTTCGGTATTTGCGATGTGATCGGTCACGAAGGAGCAAGCCGAGAGATTTGGAGAACGCGATACAGAAGGACACCAAAACCAAAGCTAATGTTTGTCCATTCTACATCAAGATATATTATGATGTAAGCATCGAAAGTTGGAAGATCATTGCGAAAAATGATCACACCGGGACACATAACCACCCAATGATTGTGTACCCAGAGGGTCACCGTAAAGTGAGCGGATTGAGTCCGGGTGCAAAACAGGTTGTGCGGGACATGACAAAGTCCAAGGTTGCTCCCCGTAACATCATGTCCACTATTGCCGAGCAATTTCCTGATGATCATCCAAACATCCGACACATTTACAATTGCCGAAATGACTTCAGGATGGAGATGTCCGAAGGAAGAGGAGTTGTTCAACAATTTCTTCATCTGGCGAGAGAGAGTAAATACATTTACTGGTTCACGAACGATGATCACAACGTTTTGCAACATGCATTTATGGTGCACCCGATCATGGTCAACATACTCCGCACATACCCACATGTCATAGGTATGGATTCTACTTACAAGACCAATCGATATAACATGCCTTTCTTTGAGATAGTAGGCGTGACACCGACAAACCATAATTTTCTAGTTGGATATGTTTTCATGCGCGACGAGTGCACGGCTAGCTATCGGTGGGTGTTGCAGAGATTAAGGGAGTTGATTGGGTTTGATAAAGAGCCATCTGTATTTATTTCAGACCGTGATCTTGGGCTATGTGCGGCTTTGAGAGAAGTCTTTCCAGGGACGTCACATTTACTCTGTCTATGGCACATCAACAGAGATGTGGAGGCTAAGGTGACGAAGATGTTTGGAAACAAGACGGTTGGTGTCAGTTTTAGAGCTGGGAGATGGTTCAAAATCGTGAATGCAACAACACAGGCGGAGTATGATCGTGCTCTAACTGCCATGCAAGTGAGGTGGGGAAAATATCCGGAAGTGATTCAGTAAGTTCAGAGAACTTGGCTTTGTCATAAGGAGAAATTTGTGAAATTTTGGACGAACCAGGTTCTTCATTTTGGTAACACCACCAACTGCAGAGTTGAGAGCCAACATTCAGCAGTGAAAACTTGGTTAGAATCATCCACAGGTTAGTTGTATAATTTTATTAGTTGTTCTCGTTGTTACGTAATTGTAATTGTAATTGTATTAATTGTAATTGTATTTGAATTTACTCATTAGAATCATTGGCAGGTGCTTTGGATACCGTATGGGCCCGAGTCCATTGTCATATCGGTAATCGCATCATACAAATTCGTAATGACTTGGAGGCATCAAGGTCTAAAATTGGTCAGATGTACAGACAGTTGCCACTGTCACGTATAAATGGCAAAGTGTCTCAACATTGTTTGGAAGTTCTGGATAACGAGACGAAAAGGATGCGGGATTTGAGTTACCAGGTCCATGAACGGTGTGGATGTGCTATGCGTCTGACCCATGGTCTTCCATGTGCTTGCCAAATACATGATTCGATAGTTGCACAGACAGGATTGTATAGCAGCCAAGTTCATTCTTTCTGGAAGATACTGGTTATTGGTGATGGTGTTAACATTCCTGAAGTGGTAAATGATTCGACCGAGGAGGCTGCAAATTTTCGGTCCCTAATCGACGAAGTCATGGAAAGTGACCCGGCCGTACGTCGAAATGTAACGCGAATCATTGAAGAGGAGCTACATCCAGATCATTCACACCTTGAAGAACCACATATCAACCTTAACACTCGTGGTCGACCGAAAAGAAATAACACCAGGCGTGATCGTAGCTATTTCGAGCATGTGAACCGTCAACACACTCAACGTGGTGGTGACCCAGAACCAGGTAATACTAAAATTCCATATTTAATATAAAAATATGTAAACTTAATACTTGTAGCTTTACTAATAATTTATCTTTTAATTTTGTGTTGTAGATCCAAGTGACATTAGTCAATGCAGGTATTTGAACTTGCTTCCAGCCCCAATGTTGCCGTACATTTCGTCTTGGAAGGATGTCATTGGTGATGGGAACTATGGCTTTCGTTGTGTTGCCGACTTCTTCTTTGGCGATCAAAATAAGTGGTTTGACGCTCGGGAAACAATAGCGAACGAGGTCGCTGGTCAAGGTACCCTGCTGTGGCCGAAAGCACGGAAAGTACTCGTAAATCCACGCTTGCAGAAGCGTGAGACAACCAGCAATCGAATCAGCACCTTTCCGTGATGCCGTGCCCAGTTGCCGATACAAGTAGGCCAGTGCAGCTGTTCCCCAAGCATACTCGTTAATAGGGAAATCCGTGTGACATAGCTCGTGGAGGAAGGAAGGATGCGTACGGTTACCACTCTTGTCTACAAACAGTGTACCTCCAAGCACTAACCACAAGTATGCATCAAGCTGCTCACTAAAATCCCGGTCAACCGCCAATGTCGACTCAAAAATCTTATCAGTCAACACCCCACTACCCTACCAAATGGTCTTTGTGCCGCAAACCTCAGACAGATCATCTGGAGTCATATCCATGGTGACCGAGCACGCGTCCCGTAACACGTCCGTGCTAGGAGTAGTGGACACCATATTGCCTGCAACCCGTAACCCAAGTATGTTGTACACGTCGTGCAGCAAGATCGTAATCTCCCCAAATGGCATGTGAAAGGTGTTCGTATCTGGCTGCCACCTCTCAACAAAAGCAGAAATCAACGGCCAATCAAGTCTCTTAAACATCAGGCCGGGCAAGTGAGACAACCAACTAGCACCAATCGCCGCAATGTCCTCCACAGATTGACGACCTCGCCAAGTGAACAAGTCAGAACATAACTTTGTCCTACTCAAACAGCGCAAAACACTACGCTCCTGCTCCATCCAGATATACCGTGCCGCGTGACCGCCAAAACTAGGGATAACTGACCCATCCTCAGGCCCACTCGGCATCGGTTCCTGTACTAACCATGCCTCTGCAGAGCTGGAAGTAGGCTGACTCGACCCACTACCAACAAATCTCCCAAACTAACCCCTATATACCATATGGAAATCCTGAGGGTCCTGTTCTTCATCCCGGTCACCAGCATGACTAGCCGAACATTCGTCTTCCTCGTCAGATATGGGTGCTCCACTTGCAGAGTACAAGGGCCGACTACTACCAGACTGTTGGTCTCTCAACCAACCACTAGTAGACCCGTATTGCTGTTGCTCGGGCTGAACCGGTGAAGATCGAGATGTCTGTCTCCTAACAGACGCATTCAGACGTCGTGATATTGCATGTCGAGCACCAGAACCCTCGATCTACATAAAATAAAAAAATAATCCGATTTTAGTAATTACAATAACAATAACCATAATAACCATAATAACAATAACAACAATAATAACAACAACAACAACAACAACAACAAATACAAATTAACAATAACAAATAAACTTAACAACAACAATAACTAACAACAATAACAACAACAACAACAACAACAACAACAAATACAAATTAACAACAACAACAATAACCATAATAACAATAATAATAACACTAATATCAACAACTATAATACTAATCATAATTAAAAATATTAATAATAGTACTACTAATAACACTAATAATAATATTATTATAACAACAACAACAAAAAAAAAAAAAATTAAACAACAACATGCAATAACCATAAAAACCCTAATATCAAATTAGTTTAATAATAATACTAATCATATTTTTAAAAATAATAACACTAATAATAATAATAATAATAATAACAATAATAACAATAATAACAATAATAATAATAATAATAATAATAATAATAACAATAATAACAATAATAATAATAATAATAATATTAATAATAATAATAATAATAATAATAATATCAACAATAATAATAACAATAATAATAATAATAATAATACTAACCATAACACTTCAAAATAACAACAAAAATAACAAAATCCAAAAAAAAAAAACAAATTAACAACAACAACAATAACCTTAACATTAATAATAAAAACCTAATATCAACAAAATAATAAAAATTATCATATTTTTAAAAATAATTACATTACAAAATATAATAAGCACAAAAATAACAACAACAATAATAATAATATCAACAATAATCACCATAACACTTCAAAATAACAAAAAAAAAAATTAACAATTTTATTAACGCGCCAAAAAAAAATAAAAAAAATAAAAAAATTGGAACTTCCGCCCAAAATTTCCGGAAGTTCCATGGAGGATCTGGAAATTCCAGGCGGATCTTCCATGGAACTTCCGGAAATTTTGGGCGGAAGTTCCTGGGATCCGAAATTAAAAAAAAAAAATACCTCGTCTCCGCCATCGCCGCCGCCTCCGCCGCTGCCACCAGCGCCGCCAAAGGTCCTCCCTCCAAAACTCAACCTAATCCGCCTCGGATCACCCATTTTCTTTTGTGTTTATGATGATTGTTATTTTTTTAAAAAATGAAGAACAATTTTTGAATTTTTTTTCAAAAAAAAAAAAATTGTTTTAGAGAGTTAGAGAGTAAGAGAGTTAGAGAGAGAAGTAAAGAAGTGAGAAATGTTGGTCGGGAAGGAAAAAACCGTATTTATATATTAGGGGTAAAATTGGAATTTCAAGAAAAAAAGGGAGCGTTACCCGGTAAAATGGGAGCGACAAATAACAACACCCACCTTTAAATTGTTCCCACAAACCCAATGACAAACCTCTTATTGTGGATGCCCTTAAATACTTCTTTCTCTTATTTTACGTGATTGATTCCATATATAACTAACAAAGTAAAACGGAAAGAGTACCTAGAATTGATTTTTTTTTTTTTTACACAAAATACACTACATTATCTTGAATTGATTTGATCCATATTATAAAAACATCACAGTAGTAAATTCAGCTGTCCAAGCAGGCAAGCATGTAAATCAAGCAATTGACAGAAAGTTCCTCCTAATCAGTACCGCACCAGTAGTTTAAGACTTTGGTGTAACATTCATATATATGAAAAAAATACAGCAATCTACATACTTCGTATGTCACATAAGATCTTCTACAGAATTACAGAGTACAAAGTACTAAATAACAGAACAGAAGAAATCACTCCAATATGCCTTGCCTAGATCTGATGATGGTCATTCTGCTCAGAAACATATCACCACAGCGTATGTGGTATTACACCCACTGACGGCGAGAGATAGAGCTCCTGAGGGCTTGGAAAGGGTATAAATGATCAAAAGAGTTAGACATCTTCGTGATCTAACGGGGAAAAACTTTACCCTTTTACCTGTATTAAAAGACAAGAGAGAAAAAGTAACCGCATTGCAACCTTTTTGGATGTTGTCAGCTAACTAACTGTTAGATATCTAGCCTGAATCAAAGATTTAGCCAAGTCCAGTTATGTCTTACTGCATAATGAACTCTGAACTGAGCCCTATATATACTGGTGTCGGAGCTACTTGTCGATTTGGCAATGGTTTACTACAACAACCTTGTCATACACGGGTGCAAGCAAGTGTAGGAAATGCCGGAATGGTGGTCAACAAGTTCCACCGCCTTTGATTAGAAAAAACTGTTGCTGATTAACCTGCATCAGTATTACACACTAGTTAAGCTTAGCTTTAGAATGTGCAAAGTGCAAATCAAGCTCGCGCAAAAGAAAATATAAAAAATCAGAAAAAATATTTGACAAAGTAGAGGACTTCATAGTCATGGCTATTTTTCAGAATGTGTCCCAAAAAATCATATTTGACAGGCATGTTTGGAAATGTGACATTTATTTTGTACCAGTATTTTATTTGAAATGGTTACATTTCTAACTCTATAATAAGCAGCAAATTATATATATGTATATAGAGCTTATCTCATACTAGTTTAAGCTGTTTTTAGCTTCAGTGCCAATTGAAACTGCTAACTGTGCTCGTTCAGATATACTGTCGAAGTCTCCTCGAGCAACTGCTTCTTTTTGAAAAATGGCATCTGACAACACTACTGCTGATGCTCCTCGAGTGATGAAGTCTGCTACTAGACCTTCAGCATATGAACATTAAAATTTATTAATTAGGAAAGATAAGATTTTTACTATCATCCACTGATTATGTTGTAGTTTCAAAAACATACAGAAACAACAAAATACTACGGAGTACATACTGATCTTTGCAGGCCAAGAATACTACTCTCACAAATTAGTATAGCGATTATAAGATAATGAAATATGATTTTGGATGGATACCCATTTGAATTCCTTGAGAAGCAACCATTGGGATGTGATGAAAAGGCTTCTTAACTGCTGATATATACTCGACACCACCTAGTGCAGAAACAGGATAGACCTGATCAAGCCAAGAGCACAGCATCAGTTATGCGATTCTCCTACCCCATTCATTATTTAATACAAATGAATACAAAGAGAATGACAGAGACGCCAAGTAGATATATTCAGAACAAGAAACATGATAAACCCCACCTTGACAATCCTTGCACCGGCATTATAAGCAGACAATATCTGCAAATGGACAGCAGTGAAATTGGGTTTAATGTGGTAATGTTCAGAATCAGGAAGAATTATTTAGTGTTTCTAAGAAATGGAGACAGGATAATCATACTTCTGTTGGAGTCATGACACCAGGTATGTATAGAACTTCATGATCTTGGATTTCAGCAAGTATGTCCTGAAGATAGGAGGTCAGCTAATACAAACTTGAGTTAAGTGCTACATAAATTATCTTTTTAAATAAAAACAAACTTCTATAATCATGATTGGACGAATATTGTTTTGTGTCCTATGAGTCTATCTTGGACAGAACAAGCAAATATATTGACAAACAAAATGAAATTCAGAAAGTTGTTATAATCTATTAAAAATGTATGACAATGATATCTATCTCCCAAAAAAGAAAATGGTTATGGAGACTACTAAAGCTTTCAAATTAATACCTTGATCATTGCAGGACTCATAAGGAACTTAGCACCAACCTTCTTTGCAACTTTAGCATCTTCGACGTTTAGAACTGTTCCTACCTAAAAAAATAGATTTAAGTTTAATAATTACGCAACATAACTGTCAGAAATCTATGCATCAGAAAAACACTATCAAATTTTTTAAAGATATCTCTAAGAGCCAAGCAAATTAATCAGGAACACAATCCAAAGAGAGTGCAGACAAATAGACAATCTTGAACCAACCTCTAATGCTTACTTAAAGAAACAAACTTCAGTCAAGTTCGAAAATTAATTTACTGCAACATACATAAACACCCTAAAATAATGAGATAAGGAGATTGAAAGAAAAAGAGAAATAAGTTATCGAGGACATAATCTTACTCCTAAAGTCATTGTTGGATACTCCAGCACAAGCTGTTGCAAAACCTACAACAAAGAGGCATGAGCAATGAGAATGAAGTCAATTGGCAAGCTGAATTAGAGAAAGAAAAAAGAACTTTAACTGAACAACCTCAAACACACCTGGAGTGGACATCACAACCTCCAACTACACATTAGGAATTAAAACAAACGTGTCAGAAAAATCAAGAATTTACTTATAAAAGGTATAGGGTGATGTTCAAGCAAGGGGGGATCTGAATCAGAAGCGTTTAGAATTTGCCTAGATATCCGGCTGAATTCACACGCTTCCAGTAAGCATTAGCAGGAAAAAAATACAGTATGTATCTGTCAAACTGTTCATAGACATCTAGATTTATAGGAAAATAAGAAATCAAATTTTCTTGCTCCATGAGGGACAGATTTGTAGGCAGGTAATTCTTCGCAAATATTAAGAAGGCAAGTGACAATCAGATAGAAATGATGAATGCATTATCTTAGGGATCAGAATGGAGATCTTTTCATATTTTGTGTTTCTTCCAGGGTGTAAGAGAAAACGATGGAAGCTCAGACATATGAACAACAAGGACAGAAATCAAGGTATTCAATATGAAGGTCATGAATCCAATAACTAGAATTAGTTGCAATTAATAGAATGATATACTGTGTGTGATGGTAAAAAAAAAAACCACTTGACACAATATTTATGCTTGAAATCAAAAGCACTTACTACTTGGATACCACCACGTAGTGCAGCTCGTGCAGCTCCAAGCGCTAGCTCTGCACTGATATTTTCAAATATTCAGAATTGAAGACTGATTATAAGCTTCTTAAACTCTAGTACAGGCGTACAGCTACAGAAAGACAATGAAAACAAGACACTTGTTATCCAATCAGACTTGAACTCCCAAGCAATGTACTATGCAAAGATACTTGATCAGCTTGTTTACCAATTGGTAGACAAGAATATAGTTGTATTCAACTGTTTACATGAATATTGACTATACATAATAACATTAGCACAATTCGAGGTTTAACCATTATCCATGCAAGATTGCAAGTTAATTGTAACATTTCAGTGACGCGATATTCCATCCATGTAGCCATGACTTCATTTTATTAAGTACTACTCGTACATAGCTTCTACTTGGTCTAGGGACTTAGACTAGCTTAAGGGGTATAAGGAATCCTGTAGGGGGGGAAAAAATGATTCAAGAGATATAAGTCATACAACTCATATAAGTTGATTGGCTCAGTTCTAAACAGAAGCTGGAAACATAGGGAAAAGGGGAAACACAACTTCATACAATGATGAAACATGGAAACACAAAAATTAAAGCAACAAATTAGTAACTTTGCTTATATTGTTGTTCTTTATTATAAACAAAAATGCAAATAAATAGGATAATTAAGGATTTGTTCTGATTTACTGAACTGGACTGCGCTGAATTGAATTGTTTATGAGAGAAGGAAATTAGGAACTGAATTGATTGGAGCTGAACTGAACTGAACTAAAATTAAGCGGAAGAGGACAGACCCTAAGTTAGTTATGTTTATTTAAACAAATGCTAGAAAGAAAAGGTAAAATTGTATCACTAAAGTTCCTTAAGGAGGCATTGAAATATTTATCAAGTGGCAAGCTAAGTTCTTTATAAAATCGAAAAAAACATACCTTGAAATGATTTAATGAGAAAATGATAAAACCTCAAGTTGTTTTTTGACTATAAATTTGCATCTCTTGACTTCAATGCACAACTTTGACTAAAAATATCTTTAATTATACAAATATATGTTTTCATATATACTTTATCCAAAAATTAACAAAATAAAATAAAAGTGGAGTACGTCGATAATGCAAAAAGTCAAATTGATGCGACTAATCTAAGATGAGTAACTAACCACGTGAAAACCACCATATTCAATATTCAATAACAGGATAAGAATTCCTAGAGTTCCCAAGCAAATAACAAAATTCCAAGAACTAACTAAATCTTCAGAATTAAGCGATAACAAACACAATATCATTAAGAAATTCCAGAACAAAAAAAAAAAAAAATGTACCTAGGAGCACGAAGGCAAGCAATGATACCAGAACTATGAATGTCAGAAATGGTTTTGAGAAGTTGAGGAGAGAGAGAATTGCATGAAGATGATGATGATGAAGCTTTCAATTGAGATAAACATGGTGAACTCCTAAACATAGGAGAACTAGATAATAAGCCAATACTTCCAGCAGCTGCCATATCCACTCTACTCCTGAAACAGATTTTTTTTTTTTTAATTTTTTTCAAAGTTGCATTAACAAGCAGTCAAGCATTGTTGTGAAATTGTCCATTTACCGCATAGGCGGAGATTTCCTCCGGTTCTTTTTTATCGCTACGTTTAGAGTTGTGTTTATCAACTACTCCCTTATAAAGTGTATATAGGACAAGAAAAAACATATGTAAATATAGAAATGTTCTTAAACTAATAATTGTCATAATATTAGGGGAATAAATGAAATATTAATATAACATCACACTATGCAATAGATATCTATAATTCCAACTTCAAATGTTACTTTATCAAATTTGTGTTAACATGTTTCGCAATGCCTTTTTATTAGCTTTTTATATAATGACACAAATAGGTAGCCATGTATACACAGATCTTGTGCTAACTGACAAGTCCGCTGTTATAAGACCATATCAACCAAAAGCTTAAGCGGATGGTTAAAGCCCAAAAATATGTTTTTATATTGTATCACCTGATAATCCTGATATATATCATACATTAAGGTTGAACCTATAAATAAGGTTCAACTTCTTTTTAGATCGAGCCGAGCTTAAAGAATTGATTTCTAGCCGATATGAAATATTTAGTACGTCATTCATCAAGGGTAACGGACTGTAGTTGAGTTGACTTAGCATCAAGGGTAGAGCTGCAGGTTGACTGGCAAGGTCTCCCTTGGGCTAGTTAGCTTGTACTGAGGCTTTGGTGGGTGGAAGCCGAGCATCGATAAACTCCTTGATTCCTTCACAATGGCCAAGTTTTTCATTACATTCATACTAAACCGGCATTGTAATAAATGGTTAAATCAACCATCAAACATATTTAGTTAAAAGCCACTAGGATACCATAAAGCGAATGCTACAAGTATTCACTACCATTATTCGATTCAAGTAGCCCCCGGCAAACTTTTGCTTTTTATACAAATTTACTGAGTTTGGAGGCCGCTATCACAGGAGGATGGAAGAGAAATCCAACCCTAGAGTAATGAGACTCAAGCTCAGATCTTCCAGCAGTAGGATCTTGGATTTTGGGTAGTGTAACAATAGACAAATAAATACACTATATGAACAGTTATAGACTACCCTCAAAGGACTTGTTTGGCTTGCACATTCTATTCACAAACTTCAAGCTTTGGTCTAAGTCTCCTGCAACAAAATGATTTCCAAGTCTAGGGCTCTGGAAAATTTTAACCCAGGCTTGAACTTTGAAGGTATAGAAGATCAAGCAGCGCTTAAACAATTTTCCCAAGTTCCATACTTTGAACTGAAGGTCCCTCCACCATTCTGTTGTGCATACTCACAAATGACAGCCCGAGCACAATCATCCCATGTCCTTGCTATCGCCTTGAGAGACATTGGCTGAGAAAGACTACGAAGAGAGATGCTAAATCTTGACTTTGCCTTCACTGAAAGATCTTCATACTCATTACTACAAAACGACAATGGAACATTTTAATCTCAAATTACTGGATAACATTATTTTTTTTTTTTTTTTTTTTTTTTTTTTTTACCATAATGACTATTGAAAAGAGGTAAACATACCCAAAATGCATAATCTATTCACGAATTGTATTTCAGATAATTAGACCACAACTAAGTAGCTTGTCCACCACACAGGAACTATTATTGTCATTAAGGAGATATTAGTTACCGTCTTTTGTGCTTTATGCAATTGTTAATGGTGAAATAAATTGTTAAAAATCAAATACAAGACAACCGGCCAAGATGAATACGTTTAGTGAACCTATTGTATATTTGCCTCCTTAATTAATCCAATAGAAGAGATACTCATCAGCCTATATAGGTAAAGTGGTGAAAAGACACCAGAATACAAGAAAGTTAAGATCTGTTAAAGCTCACCTAACATCAACTGGTAACTTGTCCAACAAAATGGGGGAACAATTTGGATAATTTACAGGAACCAGCAATCTCAACGGTTGAATTGGTGACTGCATAAAAAATAAATAATAAAAAAAAGAGCAATAAAGTCACGAAGAGATAATGATAAAATTCCATAATGGTATATAATTGTTAAAAATGAGTTAAAAGAACTTACCATCTGGGCTGAAGTGTAGTGCGACTTCAAGTCTGGACTTAGAGATACAGCACTAAAAGAGCACCTGACAATGGTTCCTTCACTGCCTTCAGAAGCTGAAGCTGCTACCGAAGGATCCATATCTTCATCACTGACATCAACAATAGTATCTATAAGACGGTCATTAATTTCTCTGATTTCTTCCAAAAGGGCATGATTAACCTGCAAAACAAATCATAAATCTTAACTATAACAAATTGAAATAGCCATCGAGCTCTTAAATGGAGAGGCCTAAACAAATAGCCATATCAAAAATCTTCCAGTAGTCTCAATTTGCACTTTGCAGGTTAAACTATTAACGCAATCCTAATAACTCATATAAAAAGTCACAACTAACATAACAATAATTTACCAATCATTTATATCCAAAGAGACAGATGAATAGTGGGCATAACAGCATAAGTGCATCACACATGATCAGTTCATTAAGACAAAAAGAATGCACAGTTGGGAGGACTTGGTACTTCAATATACCATTTACCCACATAGCGTACTATCTTGAAACATTGTAGTCTCAAAATAAACATACTTGTTCAATTAGGAATCTACTCCACTCTGGATCCTGAAACTCTGAAAGCCTACATCACCTTTCCAACGAAAAATGTCCCAATGTTTAATACTTCCCTCATCCTTGGAAGAACGTCATATTTTCTTTTATAGAATGTCCCAAAATACTGGTCAATTATCTATACTCATAAAATTAAGCATTTAATTTAATTATGGTGGGAAACTGTGCTTTGTTGAAACACAAAAGAATACGGGGAAGCAATATAATAAATGATGTTTACTTAAAAATTTGGCTTTCACAGCAAATGACAAGTAAATAAAGATGGCGGAAGAATGATTAAGAAAGTGTGAAAAAACATCCCCATCCAATAACCATTTCGGCATATTTAGAACAAACAAAACCACACTATAATCGTCAATACAACACAAACATTACCTCAAGTCTGGCCTTCTTGACATTAGATGTTGCAGTTGACTCTAGATCAGATGTCTCAGATCCAGTGAATTGCTTGAAGTTATCATTCATGCTGCCAATAGTTGCTGTAACATTTAAGGGCATTGCACTAGTATAACGGCGCATTCTTTTTGTTCCCGTACTTCCTTCTTGGGTTTGAAAATTTCTAGCTTGCAAGCGACACTTTGTCATTGCCACTAAGTCCTCACCAACTGTAGCTCTAGAACCATTACCAGGAGCAGATCCAGCAATACGATCAATCATACTGACAACTGAACCAATGTCACAGACTGATGCATTTAATGCTTTAGGGGATATTGACTTTACCTGTTAAAAAAATTATAAACAAAAAATTAATTATCCATGAAAATCTTTTTTTTTCCTCCATAAACCAAGACATACTTCCTCCGCCTTTTTTTACTTGCAAAATAACACTTTGGCACGCACTTTAATGACGACATTAGACTAGGTAATCGGACAAATTAACTGAAATAAGTTTACCACCAATAAGAAGAAAGTGTAAAGTTGTTAAGGCTTAATTTTATTAATTTGTCCATTTACCTTTTCTAATCACTTTCTCAAATAGTGTGCCAAGGTCTGTTGCAAGTAATAAAAACAGAATAAGTATTTCCTTATTTGTGAGAAACAAATAAGCCATTCTACTTACAGCTTTCAACAAGCGATCAAGTGGTTGCTCTGTTAAACTGGATTTCCCAGAAACAACTGCAGAGTTATTACCATGAGCACCATCTGGCCCAGCACACTCGAACAAAGGAGACGGCGATATACCAGGAGTTCCAATTGAAAGAGATTGAGTAGCAGCAGGTGCACCACTTTGTTGATTTCCAATATTTGCAGCATTTGAGAGTGAGGAAACAGCAGGTTTCTCAGCATCACCAGGCATAGGAGATGGCGCCAAGGGGGTTGACGGCGAAGGAACATAGGGTGAGTTAGCTGATTGCAAAGGGGTTCCACCTTTAGAGATAGATTGCAGATTTTGCTGATCAATTTGCGGGGAATTCTGGTTGATTTGTGGCGACACTGCCTGAAACAATTGAGGTGAAGTAACAGAGAAAGAAGCCCCAGGCTTTAACTGCTGATGTGCAAACCGCTGAGCTGATGAGAGATGCTGAGGGAAAGCACCTGATCTTAACCCCTGTCTCATCTTGTCATTTACATCATTTTGATGCAGTAGAGGCATCTGATGAGCTGAAATTTGTGAAGCTTGTTGTTGTTGTTTTGCTTGTTGTAACTGCTGTTGCTGTTGGTACAGCTGCTGCTTTTGTATCAGCTGCTGTTGCATATGCCTATTCTGGAGCTGCTGTTTATATTGCTGGTTTTGCAGAATCTGCTGCTCCTGATGCTGCTTCAGTTGCTGGTTTTGGAGCATATTTGAATTTGATTGATGAGTGTTAATGTTCGGCTGTAACATACCGACTCCATTCTGTGATTGCAACGAATTAACATTCGCCTGCTGAGGAGCACTAACCGGATTCTGCTGCAAAGACACTATTGCAACTTGCTGCATAGAACTAGGAGCACTTCCCTGTCCAGAATCTATATTGGGATTGGCCTGTAATGAACTCGCCATGCTATGCAGCGAGGATGTGACACCAGATAAAGATGGGACTGAACCATGCTGCAAGCTCGGCACATTGTTCTGTTGCATTGTGGCAGCAGAACCTTGTAGATTCATAGACTGCATCTGTGGATTGACACCGACCCCATGTGATTGTGCTTGAGAAATTTGAGAATGAGGCTGCTGTGATGGTTGCAAATTCTGCATCTGAGGAGGGAGGATTTGCCCTGGTTGAATTGGCCTCCTAGGCCTGTTTGTACTAAGTAACCCAACAATCTGCTTCTCAAATGATGGCAATTTCTCTCTATGAGTTGGTAGAATACTGTTCTTTGCTACTTGTAAAACTTGCATTAACCTCTCCAACATATTTTTAAATATTCTAAGCTTCTCCACCTGGTCCATCTTTGGTTGTTGAGGGAGAGATTCATGCTGTTACAAGTGAAATGATTAGAATCAAATTAGCAAAAAGTAACAACAGCTGATAGACAATTCTTCGGCAAAAAAAGGAGAATATCCCTTAAAGTGCAATGCAACTTAATTTTGAAAAAAATAATAATACGTTAAGCAGAAAAAAGCCAAGAGTATAATGATCCTTAACAAGATGGGAAATGGACTAGTTAAATCTTGTGCACATATCATATCTTGATCAGGCTTTACATGGTAATAGGACACACATGGCAATAAGATTAGCAAAGATAAATTATATTAAAAAAACACACACACACACACACACACACACACACACACAACCTCAATTAGATTTCATAATTAGAAGGTCAGATACCTGTTGTAGTTTCATAGCAATTTTTTGGTGCATCTCATTAAGATCTGCAAAGTACATGTCCTTCATAGCTTTAATCTGTCGATCAAAACCCAAGAAGATAATGATCAGCACGTTATTTTAGTAACTATTCAAAAGCATCAGCCACAGAACAAACAAAGCAAGAAAAAAGTAAAAGCAAATACCAAGAAGAAACACT